GCTTTAGGAAGACTGTGTGTTAGGGCTGGGTGTGGTGGCACAACGCTCTTCGCAGCGGGCGTTTGGATCTCTGTGAGTTCAGGGCCAGCCAAGGCTACACAGTGAGATGCTGTTTCTAAATGAACGGATGAAATCAAACGAACAAACAAACAAACAAACAAACTGGGCGTCTGTTTATTGGTTGCAGATCATCTCTGTAATGCCGTGGGGACTTCGAAGTATTATGTCAGGTTTTAAACACACTGAGGCTTGACCAAGGGAGATAGAATTTAAGTAGTAATCATAGGGAAACATAAGATTGAAAGGGCAGGCTTTTAAAAATTTCTGGATAGCTGGGCATGGTGGCACATGCCTTTAATCCCAGCTCTTGGGAGGCACAGACAGGATGATCTGAGTTTGAGGCCAGCCTGATCTACACAGGAAAGCCACACAGAAAAACCCTGTCTCCAAATAAACCAAAACCAAACAAACAAAAATTGCAGGGCAAAGGGGGTTGTCTCAACAAACTGAGACAAGTGGTTGTCTCTGTTCTGTTAGAAGTTATGTTCTGGGTGGCAAACAAAGAGACCACTCCAGCTGAAGGGTCTGGCCTAGGTAAAGTTCACTTTTGATTAAGAGGGTGCCCTTGGAAGATGGAACACAGAGACTGGAAGCAGATTTGTTTTTTATTTCCACTCAGATGGGACTGTAACTTTTCCCCCATTGGCTGGGGTCAGACCTCACAGTCTTACTGTCTTTAAAAAAAAAAAAAAAAATTGGCCCTCAGGAAATGAAGGAGGAAGGTTAATTGGGATACTGACCCTTGGTCATCGATATACATCCTGGGATACAGCTTTTGTGTAAACAAAGGTTTTACTGGGTGAGGGAAGGGGTTAAAACATTTTCATAAAAGTCTTGCAAAATGGTGGAGATAAAAAGACTTCTGTTCTCCTAAACACATTTATTTATTTATTTATTTATTTATTACAAAACCTCCTCTTTAAAACAAAACAACAACAAAACAAACACTCCTTCAAATTAATTAAGATGCTGGATCTTTTTCTGTCCCATCTTGGAGTAAGAAATTGCAATGGGGTGATAATATTTAAGAGATGGTTAACTCAGTAAGCCTGAGTTAGGCCCCTAGTACAAAGAATTAATCATTGCATCTATTTCATCAGCATGGTTTAAGGTGAGCCTCCTTGCTAGGGGTGGTTTTTTGGCCAGGAGCTTATTATGAATTATTGGAATGTTAGGCTTGCACCCAGGTCTGAGATTCTATTCTTGGACCAAGAGTTTTCCCTTAACAGGTTTTCATTGCTACTTTAACATCCCACCTCCCTAAAGAGGTAACCCTAAAATCATCTTCAAACTAGATCAAAAATTAGAGCTCCCCAAATAGTTGACATCTTTGGCCTCTGGCAAGATGAAACTACCAAGAATTCCAGGATATTCCCAAGACCTTTAGATAAGCAAAAGACTAGTACCCAGTAAGGTAAACACTGGCCTTAAATCCCAGCATTTGGGAGGCAGAGGCAGGCAGATCTCTTCGATTTCCAGACCAGCCTGATCAGATAAGGAGTTCCAGTACAGCCTTTAAAAGGAAAGGGTTGGGGGAAGGAAGTTTCTTTTCTTTGGCATCTTTAGCCTAAATTGCCTAGCTAATTTTTACCTACTGTTTTTATCATCCCTCTCTCTGAGGAGGTAAAGTAACCCTGACTGCTGTTACGGGATTGAGGCAATGGCCAATCTGGCTTCTTTCAACTGAATTTAGGGTGTTGAGTTGGCAGTTTTGGGGTACCTCTCCAGAGGGATGAACTCTCAGATGTTGGGAAAAAAAAGTCCCTGACTGGTGTCTGGAAAGGATTTTAAAATATCCAATCAAATTATATTAGACTCTTTTTATGAGTAATAGGTTTTCTGCATCCTCCCCCCATTATAGGTTTCTCCACTGACACAGTAAGCCAGATCAAGGCAAATTGAAAAAAGTGTTACAACAGGTTTATTTGAGCAAAGCAACTCCTAGACATGCTCTCCAGTCCCAGAGATGGAGGCCAGAGAAGCCATGCCCACAAACGAAAGCAGGTTATAGGTGCAAGGTGGGTTTATGCCCACGTATGATCAAAAGCTGAGCAATTTAGGCAGGGACTGGCAACTTCAGGGGGAGGAAGCTACAGTAGCCGCCAAGAATGCAGAACTGGGCTTTTTGGTGCCTTCCTTTTGTTTGGAGATTCTCTGAGTGGGTGGGATTTAGAGAGACAGAAATGGAGTTTCTCAGATCATGCAGGAGCAACCTGGAGGTTCCAACTACACATCCCAATCTTTTTGTGTATATTGGTGCTGGTTCAAATCTGGCTACTTCCTGCTGGCATGGAACCCTGTGTAGAGGGGGAGTCAGGAGTCAGTGGGCTCATACTCAGCAGGAGGTATGGGTGAAGAAGCATTCCATTAACCACCACCCCGGAGACCTTACAAATCCATTCTTGGAGGAGGCAGAGAAGGCAAAGGTGCTAGGGGAAAAAAAAAGATTATTGCCACCAGCTCTATGAATGGTGCTAGCCATGGGAAGAGTGAAGACTGACAGAAAGAATGGAATGGAGATGTACCCTGGTTGTACTGGAGAAGTTCTTCAGACAGACTCCATATTCATTTCCACCGGGCTAGATTCATTAGCAGAGTAGCAACACTATTTCCCCGGGAACATGCAGGTGTCTGTAAAACAACTGGAGCAGATTTACACCTCTGTGTCATAGAGGGTTAAAAGGCATAAACATTTTTCCTATGTCTAGAGAGCCCGATACATGTTTAAGCCCAATGAAATGCACCTTTAAGCCTATACTTGATGGCAACCAAAGGAATTTTTTTTTTTTTTTTTTTGGTTTTTTGAGACAGGGTTTCTCTGTATTGTTTTGGAACCTGTCCTGGCTCTCGTTCTGTAGACTAGAC